GCGTTCACATACATACATACATACATACATACATACATACATACATACATACATACATACATACATACATACATACATACATACATACATACATACATACATACATACATACATACATACATACATACATACATACATACATACATACATACATACATACATACATACATACATACATACATACATACATACATACATACATACATACATACATACATACATACATACATACATACATACATACATACATACATACATACATACATACATACATACATACATACATACATACATACATACATACATACATACATACATACATACATACATACATACATACATACATACATACATACATACATACATTTTACTTTGTAGAGCAACCTCACTAGATTCATCAAAGTCATCATCCTGTCAGCATTGTTCTACTGATTTTGCAGAATATTTCAAAAATAAGATTGGAAAAGTTATAAAAGATACGGATGCATTTTATATGCCATTGCAGTCTTTTCACAAACTTTATGATGAACAATTGTTAAACAATTTCTCGCTTTGTTCAAGTGATGATATCAAAAAGATCGTTTTGGAATCACCAACAAAATCATGTCTGTTGGATTGTTTACCTACCAGATTGATGAAGGCACACTTAGATTTGTTCTTGCCATTTCTAACCTTTTTTGTTAATTTAAGCTTGAAAACTGGTGTTTTTCCGTCTGCATGTAAGCATGCTTTGGTTACACCAATATTGAAAAAACAGTCTCTTGATAAAGATGAAATAAATAATTATCGTCCGGTGTCAAACTTAACGTTTATTTCAAAGTTAATTGAACGAGTAGTTGCAATGCAGTTTGTTCGACATTTGAATGAGCATAATTTACTACCATCATTGCAATCTAGTTATCGGAGATTTCATTCAACAGAGACAGCACTTATTGATGTCACATCTTCATTGTTTGAATCGATGGAATCACATGATGTATCACTTCTTGCTCTGCTTGATATGAGCGCAGCATTTGATTGTGTTGATCACAAATTGCTGGTTCATAAACTTAAACGCTGTGGTATCACCGGGACTACCTTCAAATGGTTTGAGTCTTATTTAATTGGTAGGACTCAGCAGATTATTTTTAACAATGAATTGTCTACAACTGAAACTATAAGATTTGGTGTGCCACAAGGATCTGTCCTTGGCCCCATTTTGTTTCTGGTTTACACAGCTGATGTTTTCAACATAATCAAGAATCATAATTTTAAGTGCCATGGTTATGCGGATGACATTCAGATTATTGCTACTAGTCATGTTACATCGTTTCCAGTCATGATTGATAAATTAGCACTATGCCTTGGTGAAGTTGATCATTGGATGAAAACGCATCGCCTTAAATTAAATACCTGTAAAACTCAGCTTATGAGGGTTGGAACGTGGCAGCAATTGTCAAAATTACAAATTGGATCAATTAATATTTGTGGTGATTCAATCGATTTTTGTGCATCTGTGCGCAATCTGGGAGTAGTTTTTGATAGTAGTCTATTGATGAAGGACCATGTTAAATCACTCACAAGTGAATGCTATCATCATATGCGTGGATTTAGAATTGTCCGGAAGTCGTTAAGTAGACACATATTACA